TGGGAGTTCCTAATAGACTATTGGGTTAATTTATTCTATTGTTGTTACAAGAAGAGATGGATAGGTGCACATAATAATTGTTTATGCGGTGTAATATTTTATTAGGTTTGTGAGATTGAGGTGGATCTTGGTAAATTGAGATTAGCTTGGAAAATATTATTTTAGCTGTTCGAAGGTAAGTAACCCTCTATCACTGTTGGTTCATTTTTATTCCTACTGAATCGTTTAAAATTATAAATATTTATTTATAGCTTTCATGTTCTCTTAAAATAAAATATGGGTCAAGTATAAAACAACATCGAATATTATTATGAAAGTTATTTGAATATTTTGTGAAACTATTCTGAAAATTGTACCAAATGTTTATTCCGAAAATATCGAATATTTTATTTAAAAGTTGTGTATTGTTTGAATTTTGAACATCACTCTAGTCTGACTATGATTTGGACCCAAGCCAATGGGGGTTATTTATTGGCACAGAAACTAGTTTCTTTTGGGGCTTTACCAGCGGCCTATGTGTGGTTCTGGGCCTTGTCACGGGCTAAGTGACCGTAGTGATTAAGACTTTGGTTTTGTGAATCAAATCATTGAATCATCTGAATATCGAACCATCGATTTGAACAACGAATTTCCTTTTAATTATCTTGTTGGATTTTCAATTAAAATGTATTGTACATTGTTTATTTTTAGCTATGAAACCGTCTTACAAATAATTGTTCATTTATTGAACTGTAGAAAAAAAATTATATTTATTGGTTATCAATTTATTTATTTATTTTTGTATACTTGATCCAGCTAACAGTGATTGTTGGTTATTTACTGGGCTATCTAGCTTACTCTTATTTTTTTTCAGATTCTGAAGAGTAGAGCTGCGCGGGATCTTTTTTTTACATGTGGGAGTGCCGAGAGTAGGACCATGATTTAAGTACTTGGATTATTGTTTTGTTAGTGGATTAAATTGGTGAATTTGGTGGACATTTTCATATGAGAACTATTTATTTTTATGAATTTTGGCATTATGACAATTAAGGATTTAGTTTGAGTATTTCATTTTGTGGGTTATGTGATTGGATTCTTAGCCTTGCATGCTCACTTATATGAGTGTGTGGTGTTGTCACAGAGCTTGGGATGTGACAATTTTATGATATCAGAGCCAAGTTGTAATTTTAAAGGCTGGTATAAAATAGTGGTGAGATTGGGTAGATGTAGGATTGGGAACGCTTATAATTTGATATAATGTTATTTTTATTTACTTGTTATAGGGACTTGAGAATAGAATAAGATGAGATTTTATTATTGATGCATTTAGGTTGCAATGGAACATGAGGAGACATTGGCAAATATGGCTAGGAATACACGCCAGGGTCAAACGAATCGACGGACTGGTAATAGTAATCGGCGAGGGAATGTGACTAATAATGGTAGTGGTTCTCAAGCAGTCGGAGGAAATCAGTGGCAAGAGTTGGGACACCAAGAACAAGCTGCAATCCCCAATCCAATTGAAATGGTTAAAGTGTTTCAAATGTTGGCCGGGGTGGTGCAACAACAAACCACTATAGGGAATAACTTGACTAGACTTATGGAGCAACAACAGCGGATGCAACCAGGTGTTGGGCCGCAACCAAGGCCACGTTGTAACATTACCGAGTTTAAGAAGATAGCCTTAGCATTTGACGGAGCCACAGACCCTTTGGAGGCTGAAAAATGGTTGACAGAAATGGAGAAGTTGTTTCCCGTTTTTGAGTGTACGGATGATCAGAAGGTGACCTATGCTACGTTTATGCTACAAGGGATAGCTAATGATTGGTAGCAGATGGAGAAGCGCATACACTAGCATGATGCCAACCCCTATACATGGGAAAGGTTTAAGAAGGCATTCAATGAGAAATACTTCCCTAGGAGTGTTTGTCTACAAAAACAGAGGGAATTTTTGAAGTTAGAGCAAGGGAATAAGACGGTTGCAGAATATGAAGCTGAGTTTACGAAGTTGTCTAAATTTGCATCAGCATTTGAAGCAGATGAGGATAGCAGAGCACGAAAGTTTGAAGGTGGACTAAGAACGAACATTATGCAACAAGTGGTTCCTTTCGAGTTACCTACTTTTGGAGCAGTGTTGAATAAGGCTTTGCTAGTTGAGAGTGGCCTTACCAGAGCCCAAGAAGAGAAAGAAGAGAATTATAAGAAGAGGCCTAGTTCTTCCAACTTCCAAACTAACAATTCGAAGGGCAATACTAAGAGACAAAACACTTCTTCGGTTGGGAGTTGGGGAAGTCGAACTATGGGTAGTAGTGTTGATAAGAAGAATGATCGGGTACAATGCACTAGGTGTAATGGATTCCATCGGGATAGTGAGTGTCGTTGGAATACTGGGGCTTGTTTCTCTTGCGGGCAACAGGGGCACAGGATAGCTGATTGCCCTAATCGGAAGGGGCATGAGATTGAACAGAAAACATGGACAAATAAAGGAGCATCAACAGACAAAGGGTCTTCAGGAAGTCAAAAGAAAAATGGAGGTCATAAGCCAAAGACTCAGGGCCGAGTGTACGCACTCACACAACAAGATGTTCAGACTTCCAACACGGTGGTGTCAGGTACTGTTTTAGTGTCTTCTGTTTATGCACATGTGTTATTTGATTCTCTAAGTAGGTGACAAACACCTAACAAATGGTGTATGACCAAGGGGAGGGAAATGGACTGAAATTTCTCTGGACCAATTTTCTCTGGGCCAGAATTTCTCTGGACCAATTTTCTCTGGACTGAAATTTCTCTGGATCAAGGTTGAGGGACCTTAGACATTATGAAAATATTGTTGATGGACCTTAGACATTATGAAAATATTGGGTGTCCTTTATGCTATAAAATCATAATACCAGGGACCTGAAAAAAAATACCCCAAAAAAATAATCACTTTGCTTATTTTTGGTTTTCAGAATTTACTTTTCAAAAAATTATTCTTTTTTGTTTTTGATATTTTTTTGTTTTTACTGAATTTTTTTAATTATTTAAATAAAATATACATAACATAAATACATTTAAAAAGTATAATTTTTCTGAAAAAAATCTTTAAAAAATTCACTAAACACTAAAAATATTGAAAAAAAATTAAAAATTCAATATATTTTTCGTATTTTTGTGTATTTATTAATTTTTTAAAATATTTTTTCGCAAATGTTTTATTTTTTAAATATATTTAAATAAGGTACACTTAAAAAAATAAAATAAATTATTTAAAATTTTAAAAATATTTACTGAAAATAAAAATATAAAAAAAATTAATTTCTAAAAAATGGAATTGAAAAAATTGAAATCAAATCCTCTGAATAATTCCCAAACAAGACGTGCAAACTCAAGTCCGGGAGAAAAGACGAGTTACCGTCAGACAACCCAGCCGAGACATCCGCAAAAACACAACCCCTGACAGGTCGATCCATGTGGGGGACTCACAGTCAATTTTAAAATCTTGATTTATCTTCTAAATTATTAATTAATAAATTAATTTCAAATTTATCAATCAAATTAGTAGTGCTAATAATTAGATATCGATTCACACAACACAACAAGAAATATCCTCTGATTGCTTCATTTCCAAAACAACACAAACACTCCATAACATAAATAAATACCCCTCCTCCTCCTCCTCCTCCTCCTCCTCCTCTAAGAAGAGACACCACCGTTTTTAGAGAGAGAAAGAGAAAGTTGGGGAAAATGGCAAGCGGTGGTTATGGTGATGCGAACCAGAAGATCGACTACGTTTTCAAGGTGGTGCTGATCGGCGATTCCGCCGTCGGCAAGTCTCAGATTCTTGCTCGGTTCGCTCGGAACGAGTTCAGTTTGGACTCCAAGGCTACTATTGGTGTTGAGTTCCAGACTCGAACCCTAGTCATCGAGCACAAGTCCGTCAAAGCTCAGATCTGGGACACTGCTGGCCAAGAACGATATAGGGCGGTTACTAGTGCATATTACAGAGGTGCTGTTGGGGCTATGTTGGTTTACGACATAACCAAACGCCAGACCTTTGATCACATACCCCGTTGGCTAGAAGAGTTGCGTGCCCATGCTGACAAGAACATCGTCATCATACTGATTGGAAACAAAACTGATCTTGAAGACCAACGAGCAGTCCCCACCGAGGATGCCAAGGAATTTGCGGAGAAGGAAGGGTTGTTCTTCTTGGAGACCTGGAAAGCTACCAGCGAAGACTGATAACCACAAAAACTCAACGCTTGTCCACCAACGAGCTGAACCAGTGGATGGAAAACGCACGACCGAAGCAGACAATACCTACGATGGTTTAGTGGCAGCGGAATCAAGGTATGTGTAGAGGTCCGGCGGGCAGCGAAGGCAAAGTTGCCGGCCGGCTGCCCGCCGGTGAGAAGGAAATACAGGCCTAAATCTTATAGCTCTGATACCATGTTAAAAATTCAATGTATAAACAGAATTGTATTATTGATTGATGTATTGATATGTTGTATTTATTACAATTACAAGGATTCCTATTATATAGGAGTGTGTTTGGGAGTAGGTGGAGAGTAGGTGAAGTGGAGGTGGTAGTGGTGTAGTGGGTTAGGTTTAGTGGAGTAGGTGAGGTGGTAGTGGTGGTAGGTTTATGGTAAATTCTAACAAGTTTTATTGGCTGAATACATGACTGGCGTACACACATTTGCAAATCTCAACGCAGGGCTTGTCATTACAAGTTGTCTTAAAATTTGGCATAGTTTCCATCTCTCTACGAATCATTTTATGAAAATTTTCCCCTATCTTTATCTTTGTTTGAGCATTCTTATGCTTGTTGTACTATTATATTGTTCATATGAACTAGGTGTTTCTTGGTATGATAATTAAAATCTGTGGTTACTTACAAAGACACAGTAAATTTAAATGTGTACACTGTACATTCTTTTAATAAATTAACTTTCGTTATTATTTATTATTAGGCTGACCATGTTCATGGTGCTCCAATTGCTCCATCTTCCCTACTTGGGATGCCTACCTACCTTCCACCTGGACAGGTGACTGCTTTGCATCCATTTGTTATGCATCAACAGGGCGTGCCCCACTCTGTCCCAGCGCATGTTACTCAATCTCATGTTGGACATTTTCACTCAGTACCTGCAATTTCATCTCTTCAACATTGGCAGAACCAACAGGTGCAAGCAAATGGAAACCTTGTTTTGTCCTCGTTCATGTTGCCCATGATATTATCGTTTTGAGTATGATATGTTCTTTTTCTTCAGGCTGCATCAGAGGGTTTGCAGGTGCCAACTCACAACCAATATCCTTCATCTCAAACTGATCAGAGCTTGTTGAGACCAGATACTAATTATGACTATGAAGTGTCTGTAAATGGACAAGCTATTCACCCAGACTATTTAGATGTTCATGCGAGCCAAGGAATGGAGCCTGATACTGTGATCACTGCATCAGTTCCAGAAGGACAGGTTTTGTAACTGAAATGTTGTTCTTCAGAATGATGCATGTGTACAATGGTTTATTTTCATCTGCTCAATGGTAGTGATCCTCGAAATTCTTTTTCAGGTTCTTGAGCAGGTTGATAAAAGCTACCTGGTAGCCCCACAACCCCAACAGAGCTTGCAACATATTTCTTCCCAGTTTCGCGAGGCTCTAAGAATAGATTCTCTTTCACAGGATAGTGAAACCAAGGTTTGTCTTTTTTTATTATTTTCATTTATGTATTTTTTGTCAGTTAATCAAGGTTTGTCATTGTTTGTGCACTGTTTTTGTTTACTTGCTATCATCTACCATCGTGGATCTGTTTCTCTTAAATGGCTGGTAATGTGAGAATGAGGCCGACCTCTGCATCCCTTAAAGCAGCTAAGTATTATCCGATACTAAGAGTGCCTTGAATTTCAACTGGAACAGGAGAAGATCATTACCTCTTCGACTAATCATGGCTTGGAGGTTCAAGAGTTCATTACAGAGCAAGCAAGTTCTGCAAATACACAATCATCTGAAACACCAATCACTCATGTGAATTTCAGTGAAACCACAATGAACAATGCCACTGGTGTGGTTTCATCTGAATCATTTGTCTCGTCTGGGGAGAAAAATGTACATCCTGGTGGAAAGACTTCAGAGACAGCTCTTCTTGATGAAAGATCATTGTTGGCTTGCATTGTTCGCACAATACCACCTGGATCTGGTGGTAGAATCAGGATTAGCTCGACGGTTAGTGAAAATTAATTCTGGCACAGTATTTTTTTAGCTTTCCACTCCTGGCTTTATTGATGATTCTATTATCAATGTCACGTACAGCTTCCAAATAGGCTTAGCAAAATGCTTGCCCCTCTACATTGGCATGATTACAAGAAAAAATATGGAAAGCTTGATGATTTTGTGGCTGGTCATCCTGAAGTAAGTTCTGTAGATCTTCAGCTTAGTTTTTGTTCCTTTCTTTAACTTATGTTTTTGGTTTGTTACAGATTAATATTATAGTTAGATAACTCCTTTTTGTATTTTAGTTATTCTTAATTGAAGAGGACTATATACAACTTCGAGAGGGTGCACAAGAAATCATTGCGGCTACAGCTGCTGTTGCCAAAGTCGCAGCAGCAGCTAAAACAGCATCTTCTCCTTATTCATCATTGTTGCCATCTGTTGCTGTTACTCCCATGGCACAATCTCACCGACTAAAGAGGGCCCCATCCATTGATTCTTCCAGACCTGCAAGTGCCACTGATAATCATTCGCAGCTCTCAGTGCAGAATCAGCATTCTAATGGTGTTCATCTAAATGCTGGAGGTATCTCAAATATTAAAATTTTGAGCAAACCAAAAGATCCTCTGGAACTGAATGGCGCTGAAAGTAGGCCTGGCCAGTCATCTGGACTTGTGGCAGTTGGAAATGGAGCAAACCCTGATAGGTCTGGTTTGGGCAATTCTCTAAGCAAGGGGAGGTCTAGTGCGAATTTTGTGGGAAAACTGCAGGGCAGGTATTGATCCAAGTACCTCGAGAGTTGTTGTGCATTCATTCTATGTTTAAGTCCGTAGGTTTGTAGGTTTTTAGATTTTACTCCTACTGTCAAATATAAGCTTATAAGTTTTTCTTTTTGTATGTGACAGGGCAACGGGGGTTGCATCAACTTCTAGAAGATAGTAAGTTTCATTAATGTTGTCATTGAATTTCATAAAAACATTGTGGTGTTCTCTTAATGTTGCAATGGAACAATTTATTCTATGAAAATTCGTCTGTCTGTGATAATGGCTTAGAACAACTATGCTGAAAGGTCATATAACATAAAATCTGACATTTCATGGTTTATGATTGATTGTATCAGGTAATTTGCCGGCTTAATGCATTTGTTGTTTATAAGCCTTCGAAAAATGTATTTTCCCTTTGTCTAGCAATGGTGGATTGCTCCTTGAGAAGCACATTTAATGTGCCTTTCTATAGGATTGGAAGGAGCTTTCACCAAATGAGTTATAATTTCCTTATTTGATGAGTAATAATGAAAGGCATGAGCATGTTTAAGATTAGTTTTCTGATGTCTATTTTATGGTTTTGTTGACCTCATTAATGCATTTGTGATCACACCTTGTTAGTTTATTATTGATTCACTCACTGGGACATCAAAAGAAGTTATCAATGATATTATGCTTTTTTTAGACATTGTCTTTTTAATGTACCAATGCTGAAACCATTCTCTTTTAATTATTATTTTCAAAATATTTAGGTGTTTGATTGTGTAAGGGTTTCATGTTTTGAGACTGAATGTTTTCCAACAAATGAGGATGTCCCAAATGCACTTTATTTAGCTATTACATCTCACTTTTTGCAACATTGAACTTCATATTTTGCATCATAGTCGCTCTCAATAACAAATGATGTAGTTATTTGTGGTCATACATAGGTTATGTTTTATTGATGCTCCTAATAATGTCAAAAACTGGAAGAGTCATTATTTTTGGATCAAAGGATTTGAGAAGGAAAAGAGATGGGAAAAATTAAAAAAATTAGCTTGTATTTCATACACTTCTTCTATACTTTTTTTCTTACCTTCACAAATCCCTCCCAAGTCCTTGATCCAAACACAGCCTGTATATTTTGTGTGTAAAGTCTTCTGTCTTTAGCCCCTGTGGTTTTGTTTTCGTTCTTTTATTTAGCGCTAGTAATTCTTCTAATTGTTTGGTTTGGCAGGGTACAATTTGGACATCTTCCCGATCAAATGAACGTTCATCAATGTGCACAGATCTAGGGGATGATGATAGCATTTGAGGGAGAGTTTCTAGGTTGAAATCTCTCGTATCTTTTGCATTTGATAGAATTATCTGATTGGAATCCTTTAATTGTCCCCCTCTCCTGCACCTCTCTTGTTTTCGTTTTGGAAGAACTGTTTATTTTTACATATTTTTACTCAGAACTGTACATCCATCTGCCTGCTGTGATATTCATATCCACGATTGCATCTGTTATCTGGCAGCTTGCAAAAGTAGTCTGGCAGCGTACTTTTTTGTCTGCGGATTCTAAATTATTGGAAAATATTGTTTCCTGAATTGGCTGAACTCTTCTTTTCAATTATTAAATGTGTTTGTATCGATGCTGTCTGGATAAATGAGTTGCGATATTTAGCTATGGTGCTGCTAGGTTGTTTTCAAATTCTGACTTCTTAACTTATGCTATTTTATGAATCGGTGGTGTTGGATTTGGCTTTCTGAGAGTGATTCCATTCGTCATTGCTAAATTGGCAATTGGCAAAGTTATAATTGAGCATGCTAATGTCAGAATGTCAAATTTTGGCTATGTTTTAAGCCTTGTTTGCTAAGTGATTTTTTTAGTTAAAAAGTTACTAAAAAAATCAAAAAATTAATAATTTATACCAAAAAGTTGCTTATCTTTTCGTAAAAAATCAAAAAGTCATCTCAAACATACTAATTTTTTTTACATCATATTTTAGCTAAAAAATTGCTAAAAAATCCTATTCCCAAACGAGGCATTAAGTTGAATACTAGCATTATTCAAGACTTTTCTTTTGTCTTTTTTTCCTTTTTCTAAAGTTACCAAGAACTAGTTCATATTAACATTGAAAAGTGTCAATATTTTCTGAACGGGATTTTTTTTAACCGCCCTTTTAATTGTGGAAAAAATATATTGAGTCACACAAATTTGATATAATTATATTTAGTTCCCTTAAAATTTTAGCTCACATAATATTTGACTTTTTTTATCACCAGTAATTCATTGGTCATATAAATGAAAAATATATTTTATTTATTTATTCTTATGTTTATATATCATTTATATTAGTTCAAGTCACTTTAATCTTATTAAAATTATCCGTATAATTATATCAAACTTATAAAACTTATTATATCTTTTCTAAACCTCAAAAGTGATTAATGTGATTTACCTTTTTTTTCTACACTAGCAAAGTGATTGTCATTAATATTATTATTGTGCTTACATGAATGAAAAACTACTAAAAAAAACACTAAAAAAAGGTGATGTTTTATAGTTAATAAGTGTTAATATATAATTGTTATGTTAGTGTATAATTGTTATAGCTTTAATCATTGCTAAACTTTAGCACTTTAGCTTTACTCATTACTATTCTTTATGTTTATGCTTTCAGTGTGCATCAGCATCCAATGCCCCATAATTCTCTCTATAAAGAGAGTGTAGTATTCTCTTTGTAATTCACACATTCATTGACAGACAAACAATACATTGTCTCTTACATTGTCTCTCTCTCTCTCTCTCTCTCTCTCTCTATCCTCTCTCACTTTCTCAAACTATTATTACATGGTATCAGAGCCCAGTAATACAATTCTGGTATTCTTCAATTTTGGTGCCTAGTCCCGTACACAGTGGAACTACACCAAACAGCTCGGAATCTCCTTACGATTCCAACGACACCAAGCCCGTCACCAGAAACTCTCTCACGCGCTCTCACGCGCCGCCTCTTTGCTCGGCGCGTCTCTGCTTCCGTTGCCACGCTCACACGTGCCTTCACGCGCTTTCCACTCTGCTCTTTCGTGCGCCGCGCCTGCTACCGTGCACCCGCGTGCGCCATTCGTCTACCGTGAGCCGCGCGTACGCCGTTTCGCTATTGTGCACCCGCGTGCGCCGTTCCGCTATTGTACACCCGCGTGCGCCATTCTGCTACTATACGCCACACGCCCTCTCTGCTACCGTGCGCCGTACGCCCTCTCTGCTAACGTGCGCCGCTGACATCATTTTCCATCCTGCTGACATCATCTCTACACAGCCCACATTTTCTAGCTATTTTCGGCCTTCCGAACTCACTGGTACACTCTGTTTTACCTAATTTTGCTCCTACAGGTCTATTCCTATCAATTTAGCCCTACTCAACTATTACTATGGATCGTCATGATGCCTCCCATCCTATTTCCATTATTTTGAATGGTTCCAATTATGTTCTATGGGCCCAAGCCATGTCTTCCTTCCTCAAAGGAAAGAAGCTCTGGCAAATTATCACCGGGGACATAACCCAACCGATGAAAGACACTATTGAAACCACTGTTTCTCCTGCTACTCCTACATATGAAGATCGTCTTGAGGAATGAGACAGTAAGAATTACCAAATCATTACCTGGTTTCGAAATACTTCTGTTATGTCTATCAGTCTTCAGTTTGGTCGCTTTCAGCTTGACTCTGTAACAACTCCTGCAAAAGACATCTGGGATTTTTTGAAAGAACGATACCAGACTACTGGTCTTGCCCATTAATATCAACTTCAGAACCAACTTCACTGCATGCGCCAAGAATCCACTCAGTCCATTAATGACTTCCTTTCTCAAATGTACTCTGTTTGGGATCAGCTTGCTCTTTCAGAACCAACTTGGCATAACAACGAAGATGCTGTTTTATTTACTATCTATCGCAACCAGCAAAGGTTGGTGCACTTTTTCATGGCTCTTACTTCCTCCTTTGAGCCCGTACGTGCCTCTCTGCTTCATCGCCATCCATTGCCCACTCTTGAACAAGTAATTTCTGAGTTGCTATCAGAGGAGACTCGTCTCGGTACTCTTCAAACTCATCATATGGACTCTGTTCTTGCCACTCCTCCGTCCCGGCCATCATTTACCCAGTGGACCACTGCTTGCCTCTATTGTCAGAATCGGGGCCTTCATTCAACCCATCTCCTGGTCAATTGCCCCGTCAGATCTTGCCGCTACTGCAACAAACTTGGTCCTGGTCATCTGCAATAGGATTGTTTTCGCAATCCATCCCGATCATCCTGCAATAGTCACTCCTCTCGCGGTGGCTCTTTTTGGGGAAGCTTTCATCGTTCCGGGAATCAGTCTCATTACACTGCTACTGCTGCTTCCGGGAATCAGTCTCATCACACTGCTGCTGCTGCTTCCAGGAATCAGTCTCATCACACTGATACTGCCGCCTCTGCGGGGTTCTCTGAGTCACCTGCTCCGTCTACCCCTCGCTTTTCTCCGACGGATGTAGAGGCCATGCTCAAACAACTTCTCTCCCTATCTGGTACACCTCCTCCTACTGCTTTGTCTGTAATCCCAGGTAACTCTTCTTGGTATTTTGACTCTGCCTGTTGTAATCATATGACCTCCAGTTCTACTATATTTTCTTCCTTATCTTCATCTCCTCATATTCCCTCAATACATACTGCTGATGGTTCCCTCATGTCTGTCTGTCATGTTGGTATTGTTTCCACCTCTTCTTTATCTATACCTCAAGTTTATCATATCCCTGCTCTTACCTTAAACCTTATTTCCATTGGTCAATTATGTAAACTTGGTCTAACTGTCACATTTTCTGCTACTGATTGTTTGGTACAGGACCCTCAGACGGGGCAGACTATTGGGATCGGCCGTAAGCATGGACGTCTCTATGAACTCATTCACCTTCATGTTCCTGCCTCTCCTCAGATCGCTGCTCCTACATCTACTTCCTCTTTATCTCTCTTTCATCTTTGGCATTGTCGCTTAGGGCATATTTCTGTTAATCGCTTAAAGTCTTTGGTTTCTAGTGGACAGTTGGGTCATGTAATTCCCGATAATTTCGATTGTATACCCTGTCAACTTGCCAAACAATCTGCTTTATCATTTAATAAAAGTACTTCTGTTTCCCTTGTACCTTTTGATCTTATACATTCGGATATTTGGGGGCCCTCCCCTACCACTACTATGGGGGGATCCCGCTATTTTGTTGTTTTTATTGATGATTTTTCCCGATTTACTTGGCTTTTTCTCATGAAAAATAGGTCTGAACTTAAACACATTTATTATAGATTTGCCCAAATGGTCCACATTCAATTCTCCAAAGCCATCAAAATTTTTCGCTCTGACAATGCTATGGAATATCGGGATTCAGATTTCCTTTCCTTTCTTCAGCATCATGGTACACTGCCTCATCATTCTTGTGCTGGCACGTCCCAGCGAAATGGCCGCGCTGAACGGAAACATAGGCATATTCTTGACACTACTCGCGCTCTCCTTCTCTCTTCTTCCTGCCCTGAGAACTTTTGGGGGGAAGCTGCCCTCACTGCTGTTTACACTATCAACTGTGCTCCTACCCCTGTCATCCATAATCAAACTCCCTTTGAACGACTGCATGGCACTCCCCCTCCTTACGCCAATCTCCGGGTTTTTGGCTCTGCCTGCTTTGTTCTACTTCAATCCCATGAACACACCAAGCTTGAACCTCGTTCTCGTCTTTGTTGCTTTCTTGGGTATGGAATTGAACATAAAGACTTTCGCTGTTGGGATCCTCTTTCTAAACGTCTTCGTATCTCCCGCCATGTTGTTTTCTGGGAGCACCAAATGTTTTCCTCGTTATCCTCCTTTCACTTACCCGCACTTTCCACTACTGTACTGTTTACTAATCCTTCCATAGATCTTTTTTCTGCTGATTTTGATACATTTTCCTCCTTCATCGAGACGCCCTTGCTCACTCCTGATCCTGTCCAGCCTGCTCTCCCTGAAGTAGGGGTGGGCGCGGGTCGGTTGCGGCCACGGAACCTCCAATCCGCCATCCGTCCGCTAAATTGGCGGATTGGAGAAAATCAATCCGCATCCGTCCGCCAATCCGGCGGATGTGGATTGAGCAGTTTGGCGGTTTGGCGGATGGATGCGAATCGATTTGGCGGTTTAAGATTTTATAAATTTTTAACATAATTCAACTTGTGCATTTTCTAAAAAAAAAAAAAAGAAAGTATTACAGTCAATGACTTAAAAAACTATTACAATTACTGTATGTCTCATCCAAAAAAAGAAAGTTTGAAACTTTAGAATATCACAATCACTGCATGGCTCATCCACATATTACAATCACAGCATGATTCATCCACATAAAGTATTACAATCTTTGGTTCTTAAAATATAATAACAATTCAAACCACCAAAACCATGAACATGGCAGCAGTAGAGATTGTATGTCTCTGTATTGTTACATCTATATATGTTTTTGAAAACAAAAACCAACTAGCATATATCATATTTTCTATTTATTATTTTTAGAGTTAAATTTAAAAACTAAAAAATATAGATAAATAATACGTTTATTTTTTTCAATTCAAAAAATATATTGAAGTTGAAAACTTTTTTTCAACAGAATATTTAAACT